AGGATTCAAAATCACCGTAATTGTCCGGCTTTTTAGTCTGGGACGCAATCACGCAGTTATGCTAGGTCTTTTTATCCACTCTAGTTCTTTGGAAGTCGTTTAAATGGTGATAATATTTATGGATATCACTCACTAATGCACTTGTTAAAAAGGCTAGGGACATGTCCTGCCCGTCGAGTTTTGCTTTCTTGCTGAGTCACAGTTCTGTTAATTTTGCGGCAGATACTAACTGGAGATATGCAACTCAACTTTGGAAGACCTGGCATTGCTACGCCCGTCATAAAGAAGCATTCAAGTAACATCATTAACATGGAATACCCTAATTGGTAAAGCTAGTCTTGATATTTTTGATTACCATCAACTTGTGTGCACCTCTACGCGCCGTGACAAATTCATTTCTTAAAAAAGAAGACTTTTACTTTTGTAACTGCAGGAGTGTAGTCGTGTAAACGATTAAGCGATCTGGCGCATAATTTTTTTCCAAAAAACTCATCAGTTGATGTCCTCGGGTGGAGCGTTACCTCAGGCGTTAAGCAACTCGTCGTCGTTTGTTGGTCACCATCAAATTCCCGGATTTCCGCTGTTTTCCCAGCTGAGCTCACATCATCACCATCACCGTCACCATCTTCAGCAACCTCTTCCTTTCCATCACCAGCAACAGCCTTGTGCCACACTTATCACCAATACGACACGTATTAAACTTAAACGACAACGACAACGTGTAGACGCCGGTGAACCACGTAATTCTTATCAGGTTTGCACATGTTTCATTACCGAAAAATTGATTTTAAGCACTGAAAGGGGAACGGCGTGGCGTAAATTACGTATTCGCCTTTCAGTGAGTAATAAGCGCAGACAATGAAAAGCAAATACATTTCTTTTGCAGAAGCGCATAGCAAATACCGGTGTTTAGTTATTAGACCATTTGTTCTTAACTTCTAGATTCATTATCACAATTTGTTACTTCTGCTTACTTTGACTCCTACAAACCGTAGGATCGCAACTACCAGCGACAAGACCAGTTCTTCCATGTCTCCTTTTTGTTCATTCGTTTTTGTAATAAAATGGTACTAGCAAATCAAATGGTGCCAGCAATGAAACCATTCTGAAGTATATTTATTAGGTAGACTTTAAGAAAATGGTACTAATATATTAGAAGAAGTGGGGCAGGGGGCAGGGAAGAGGGGGGG